ACTGTGATTCGCAACAGTGTTGCCATGGAGAATGCACTGGTAGATGATGACTGACAGTTAAGTGCTGAGATTTGTTTATGTTTTAACTAAGCAGATTGACTCTGACCGAATTACCCCGAGGACTGAATCATAATAGCTCTTACCTATTGTGTTAAGGTGAAGCAGGCCCAATATGTATATATTTTTTGTTTCTGTACAGGGCTTTGTGCATTAATATGTGCGTAGACTTCAATCTGGGCAAGTGCGCAACATTGTCAATCCAACTATCATTCTTAAATTGTTTGTCAATGTATTTCTTAGCACACTTACGATTGTTTAGTTGCAAAATCATAAGTAATGTTGAACAGCTTGTTTTGAGATTTGTCAGCCTGGGCTGGTTGAGCACATTTGGTCCCTTCACTTCTGTGAACAATCAAAGTGACATGCTATTTGATTTGATTCATCATTCTTTGGGAAATATAGATATGTAGCTAGTATCATATTGCCACTCATTCATCTGCCACATTACTCATTTGGGTGATAGGCAGAATTTTTTTGTTTTAGCTTGACAGCAGCAACTTTTATTGGCAAACATCACTTGTGTTGCTGCTGTGAACTTCACGATTTGCTCAACCTTTCTTGAGATATATTATCCTTCCAGGGTAATCTGAGGTAGAGTGGGCACTATTCAAGATTGAAACTGATAGTCTTAGACCCATTGTGAGTTTGTACAATATAAGCCAGAAATAATCAGATTAAGGTAGCCATTACCTTGCAGGATGGCTTTGAAGTGCCTTATTTCAGCATCAAACTTTCATGGTGAGCAAATAACCCAGGCCCTAGTTAAAAATGTAGAAATCCCAACTAGTGAATTACTGAAAGTAGGCTTCCAGTAGGCAGTAGTGGAGAAACTCCTCACAAATTTCTCAACTGGGACATTGAGGAAAGAGGACTTCATTTGACTGCTTCATTTCAAAGATGGATCTGAGTGCAGGGTGAAGCCTGGGAATGTAAGTGCAAGTTTTCTGGTAGCTACTAACTCGTGAATGGGCAAAAGGCCTCCACTTTCAGTCCTGGAAAGAACCAACTCATTGGTAGTTAGAAAGTAAATGGGGAAGACTAGAGTTCACAAGCACCAATGAAGAAAAAGAGTTCAAGTATCTGAAAGCAGTGAGGAACATCCAGAAATCCCTGTTACTGATGAGATACTGTGATTGTGGCCTTGAGCCATAAGACCACAACTTGGATTTTGATGTAGAATCTAGCGTTTATGTTTACATTAGTTCTGGAACAGTTGATGCCACCATAGTGATGTTAGTTCAGACCCATGCACTAGTTATTAGTTCTGACCATCAAAATTTGAGCAGTTTAATGAGCAACAGTAGATGGATTGAATTTTAAAAAAAAAGCAAAAGAACTGCAGAAGCTGGAAATCAGAAACATGAAATAGAAACTGCTGGAAAAGCTCAGCAGGCCTGGCAGCATCTATGGAGAGAATCAGAGTTAATGTTTTGGGTCCAGTGCTGAGATTTTCCAGCAATTTCTGTTTTTGTTAGATGATCTGACTCTGGAACCCACTCTGAAAGGGAAATTAATTATGTTACATTTCTACTTTCTGGGACGGAGGCCAGCAGAGTGTAGAACTAATGTATTTATTGTTACTCAAAGGGTATTGTACCTCCAGCTGCCAATGAAGAAGTGAAGGAACTCTTTGTCTTTGAAAACAAGCTGGACTTGGCATGTGCTGCTGCTCAGGTTCTGCCCACACTGCAGATAACAAAGGTAACTTTTCTTTATTCCACCCTTAACATTCTTCTCTTACCTAACAATACAATTAAACAAAAAGCACATTGCTAATTTTTACACAGTTGTACATTACAACATAGAACAGTATAGCACAGGAGCAGGCCCTTTGGCCCACCATGTCTGTGCTGACAATGGTGCCATTCCAAACCAATGCATGGCCAAAATGAAAAGCATTTTGCACACGCACAAAAGAATTGAACATTTTACTGATGTCTGATTCCTGCAGGGTACTTAATATTTTGCAAACAGGAAGGAACCATATTTCTATCAATTCTTTCCCATCTGACTATATCTGTAACTATAACTATGTGGTGTTGTTGCTGTGTGCCAATTTGAAGCATTTTGAAAGGCCTAAGATTTTGGTTACCATTATTACATGGACAAGTGTCGGACTATTACAGACCAAAGCAATGAAGTTTAAGATAGGTATTTTGTCGAAAACAAAAAGGCTTCAGCTTTGTGAAGAATATTGTTATACCTCAGTCATCCAATACTGAAACAGGAGACAGTTTGCCTTCCACAACTGTTTACTTGCATTTCATTCCAGTCTCCAGTCTACTGTCTCCCGTTTTTGAACTACCTCCCATTACTAGAGAAAATCAGCCCTTTTTGAAAAACTCACAGCTGACTTAACCAATTAACTGATGAAACAAACAACTACTAACAAGCAAAATAGTAGTTAACTATTCATGTAACCAAATCAAAGTAGGCCCCTTTATCCAACAGATAATTACTTCAAAGTTAGTAGACACGTTCATTAGCAGAATTTGCAATAAACTCTTCAACCCCGTATCTATATCCTGTTATTTCTATTTAGAAATTGAGAAAACTCATTGAATGAGTTAGTGTCATAGAGCAAGTGAAATTTGGGCAAAGTGCACATTATCATCCACCAGAAAACATTGAAAAGGGAAACAGGAGACATAACATTATTCAAACAAAAGTTAATGGATTTCAAACTTTAAAACTTCATTCAGGTATTCTGGCAGGTTCTGGTACTAAATCTACCTCTGAATGCATATGAGTAGAAGAAATTGGAATCATTACATTAAGATATGTTGTAAATGCAGTGAGCTAATTGCACATTGATTCACTCAATGGTTTGTTCTGTCTACAGTTGGATCTCCAGTGGGTGCAAGTCTTGTCTGAAGGTTGGGCCACTCCCTTATCTGGCTTCATGAGAGAAAGAGAATTCCTGCAGGTTCTGCACTTTGGGACTCTCTTGGATGGTAAGAATTGCTGAACGCTGCTGCAACTACAAGTATACTGCTACAGTCAGTTTCCATACTATTTGAAGTTTTCTCAGGGTTCTGTTCCATTTTTATTTACCAATGTGAAAAGGCTATTGAAAGAAAAAGCAAGCGGGGCTATAGATCAGCAGTCAAGCTCACAGATTTTATTGCACAATGGTCTTTGCAAGAAGCAGAGTGTCTGATCAGTTGGTCTCTGCATTATCAGTTCTTGAAGCAAAGAATTAGCAGGTGTTTAATAAGCCACTGTTGCAAAGATGAAGACACTTGCTGTTGGAGAATTTAACTGCTTGAATCAAGACTATTGAGCAATCCGAAAACTGAAAGCAGATATGTGTTGGTTTTGATTTAACCTATGATGCCTCTCAAGGGATCGTGCCATAACGGCTTTAACTTTCATTTCCATAAATGATTTTCACAAAGGCACAAGAGGAATGACATTGCAGAGTGCTGAGATGGCATCAATTTGGGGATGGTGGCAAACTATGAGAAAGAAAATCAGAACAAATTGCTCAGTGGAGTTGGGAGCTAGGTAATAAATGCATAAAGATGCGCAGATGGTGAAAAAAAGACATCCTAAATGGTAAAAGAAAGAAGGATGTATATAGCATCTTTCATGGCCTCAGGACATCCTAAGGCCTTTCATTGATGATGAAGAAATTTAAAAATGTAATTGTCTACATAACAACAGCAATGTGCCAGTCAATTTGCACACAGCAATGTTGCACAAACAGTAAAGGGAAAATATCTTTAATGATGTTGGTTGAGCCGTTAATATAGGCCAGGACAATGAGGTAACTCTATTACTCTCTGCTGAAATATTGCCATCGGACCATTTACAATCATCCAGGAGGGAGATGAAACTATGGTTTAACACCTCATCCATTGCTTGGATGAAGAAAATGAATGTATTACAGCCAAGTTTGCAGATGACGCAAAAAGTTAGGAATGCGAGAGCTGAGGAGGAAACCATCTGTAGACGGATATAGACAGGTTAAGGGAGTGGGCAAAAACTTGCCAGCAGGAATGCAATGTGGGAAAGCATGGGGCTATGCACTTTGGCAGGAAGAATAGAGGAGCTGAATATTGTTTAAATAGAGAGAGACTGCAGAAAGCTATAGGACAGAGGGATTTGGGATTCCCCATGCATGTCACAGAAAGTTAGTATACAATTTCATTGGTTAATAGGGAAAGCACGTGGACTGTTGGCCTTTGGCCTTTGTTTCAAAGGCAATAGATTGTAAAAATAGAGAAGTCTTTCTAAATCTGTACAAGACACTAGTTAAACCACTGCTGGAATATGGTGATCAGTTTTGGTCCCTTTACCTACGGAAAAATATATCAGCTATGGAAGCAGTCTATAGAAGGTTTACCAGGATGGCCCCAAGTATAGATGTACTGCCTTATAAAGCAAGGTTGAATAAGTTAGCCATGCACTCAATGGAATTTAGAAGAATGAGAATGAATCTCATTGAAAAATACAAGCATCTTGGGGTCTTAACAGGGTAGATGCAGATAGTTTGTTTCCACTTGTTACAGAGTCTAAGACCAGAGGGCATAATATCAGAATAAGAGGTCGCACTTTTAAGAGAGAGAGAAAGAAATATTTCTTTACTGAAGGTTGTCAATCTCTGTAATTCTCTCGTGCAGAGGATGTGGAGGCTAAGTCATTAAGTATATTTAAGCCTGAAATAGATGGATTTTTAATCAGTATCAAGGGTTACAGGGAAAAGACAGGAAAGTAGACACAAGGATTATCAGATCAGCCAATAGGCTTGCGCACTCATGCTGATACGTCAACTTTGCCTCTACTCAGTCTCTCTATGATTTGATGCCTTCCGAAATGTATCTGCTTCATACTGATTAGTCAAAAGTCTCAGACTTCCATGAGTCAGCAAGTGTGCTTGATCTCTTAGTGATGTTTTGAAGACATCTGTAAAGCATTTCCCTGTCCTTCTAGGTGTCTCCTGCTGTGACCAAGTTCCAAGTGGAACAGAGATAGTAGGAACTGCAGATGCTGGAGAATCTGAGATAACAAGGTGCAGAGCTGGATGAACACAGCAGGCCAAGCAGCATCAGAGGAGCAGGAAGGCTGACGTTTCGGGCCTAGACCCTTCTTCAGAAATGGGTCTTAAAATGAAGAAGGTCTTAAAATGAAAAAATGAAGAATTAAAATGAAGAAGGGTCTAGGCCCGAAACGTCAGCCTTCCTGCTCCTCTGATGCTGCTTGGCCTGCTGTGTTCATTCAGCTCTACATCTTGTTATTCCAAGTGGAGCAGTTGTCTGGTGTTGGGCCAATGAATGACATCTGCCCAGTGGAGCTGGTTTTGAGTGATTAGTGACTCAGTGCATGACAAGTTAGCTCAGGAGAGGACAAAGGGGAAGGTCAGAAGATTTGGGAACACATAGGGAAATCACTGGGGCTTCCTCCAGACATCCGCTTCTCTGCTCTTCCCACATCCCAACCAAGCACATGCACAAATTCCAATGGCCTTCTTCAGTTGTGTGACTACCTGACCTTCTGATTAGAAACTGGCTGGAAGTTAAAACATAACTTAGAGTATCACAAGAACCACTCAATCCTTTTCTTTCTGTTTTAATTAGTACTGAAGGATGGTTGTGGAAAATACCATATGATTAAGAAAATAAGTAGGGTTCAATTGAAATTCAATCATTTGAAGTTTCAATATCAAACTTATTTTGTTTAACTGAGGCTGGATATTGACAGTTCTAACACAAATGTAATTCTTTCTGAAAGTGAATACGTCCTTCTGTCTCTCCACACAATGAGAAGAATCTCCAGCTAATTTTGTGAGTCGAAGACTCCTTCTGTTATTGTGAAGCTTGAAAACAGTTTACCATAATAAGTTCAACCAAAACAATTCTCAACATTCCTGAGACTTTCCTCAGTCATTATTTCTAACTTTTTAAAGATGACTTTTTTGTACGTATAAACCTGTTGTTATAGTGAAATATAAAGTCATTTTTAGAATCAGAGATAAGTTTAAAAAAGCCAGTCTGCAAGAACAAGCCATTATACACAATTGTGAAAGAGAGTACAGAACTGCAAATTGTGTACGTGAAAAACTAGTCTTTCAGAAATAAGTAAGCTGGGATGTGGGTTGAACCAGAAGCAACAGTTCACCATTGGGCAAAACATGCTTTTGAAAAGCTGGCAATTAAAAAATTCAAAATAAAGAATTCCAAATAAAATATTGGAAAAACACAATGACGTGGATATGTTAGTTGAAACATAAATTGCAGGGGAGAGATGATAAGGATCAGTAACAACTGCAAACAGCTAGCACTAATTTGGTCAGATTGGAATTTAAAAAGTACCAAAAGGGACAAACCAATCATATTTTCATGTGGTTTTGTTATGTGCTAATTTGGCTGCCACATTTGCCAACTAAATAACAACATGTTTCAAATGTAATTAATTAGTTTTGATGTGCTTTTGGGTGGTCAATGAATCATATTTTATGACTTCCCGGCCCCTTCTTCTTTGAGCCAATCTTATATGGGTCACATATTTCACAAAGTTACCAACATACTGCTGCCAGCTGTCGAGACAATAACAAATCTTTTTGAAATCAAAAGCTTTTCCCTTCAAGAAATAGTGAAGACATCTTCATAAAATTATTATTTAAGAGGAGACATTTCTTGCACAAAAATTAAATAAAGAACTGCGTATGCTGAAGATTTGAAACAAAAAGTGATGCAGAAACTCAGCAGGTCTGGCAGCATATGCTGAGGGAAAACAGAGTTAACATTTCGAGTCTAGTGATCCTTCTTCAGAACTGATTACAGCTAGAAAAAGGTGGTGCTTTTTTTTAAATATATTCATTAATGGCATCGGTGGCTAGGCAGCATTTATTGCCCAGAAGGCAGTTCAGAGTCATTGCTGTGGGTCTGGAGTCACATGTAGGCCAGACCAGGTAAGGATGGCAGTTTCCCTCCCTAAAGGACATTAGTGAATCAGATGGGTTTTTTTCCAACAATCAGCAATGGATTCATAGTCATTATTAGATTCTTAATTCCAGATATTTTATTGAATTCAAAATACACCTTCTGCCATGGTGGGATTTGAACCCAGGTCCCCAGCACATTGTCTGGGTCTCTGGATTAACAGTCCAGCAATAATATCACTAGGCTATTGCCTCCCTATATGCTGATGACAGGTGATGGGTGGGGGTGGGGGAAGGCGTGGGTAAGGGACTGAGTGGATAGGTGGAGAAGGACTCTTGAGAGAGACAAAAAAAGTTAGGCAGACAAAGGGTAGTTGACATAAAGCTGATCATGGGGACAATGAATGGGTGAAATGGTTGGGCTGTGCTGAAAACAGCCCATGTCACGACCGGACCTGGGATGTGGGGTGGGCAAAGGACATGAAAGGTGGTGTTCAGGTTCTAAAATTATTGAATGCAGTATTGAGTCCTGAAGGCTACAGTTCCTAAGTGGAAAATGAGAGGCTGTTCTTCCAGTTTGCACTGAGCCTCACTGGAACACTGCAGCAAGCCCGAGATGGAAATGTTGGCCAGATTGATCTTAGTAGGATAATAGGTCAGCACAACATCGTGGGCCAAAGGGCCTGTACTGTGCTGTACCGTTCTATGTTCTATGATTCACAGCGGTGTATTGAAGTGGCAGGCAATTGGAAACTTGTAGGATCGAAACTTCAAGCCCTGGATGACTAGTCTAGTGCCTTCCCTCTATGGCAACATCTCCGAATGCAGTCATTGCCACTGTAAAGTAGCAGGTGGGCCTGTCGTATGGATTTATGACTGAGAACCTGAACAGGCACGTCAGAGTGCATTAAGGATCAGCTATGTCATTTTGGATAACCACAATATGTAAGCTCGAATGGACAGGACATCAGTGAACAGATTGAGTTCTAAACAACAAAAATAATTTCTCCCTTCCAGATCCCCTTCATCAGGGAGGGAGAAATTGGGAGTAGTGACCCAACCGTTGGCTGTGAAAGTGATATTGAGACTTCTGTTTTTCAATAGGTGCGGGTTTCAAAAGGGTCTAGAGACTGAATTCCAGACAGCAAAGTTTAACTCTGCTTGCCAGCTTTTCCAAAGACAGTAAATCAATTTGCTGGCTATGATTGAATGTACGACAAGCGATTTCATCACAGAAGCTGCTGTCTCCAACAATCCCGCACAGTCAAATAGGCATTGAAAATGGCTAACAAAGACACATGATTCAGTTTTTAACATCTCTATAATTATTCTTCCAGGCAGCTTATACCATAAGAAATAGGAACAGGGATAGGCCATTCAGCCCCTCAAGTCTGCTCCATCATTCAGTAGGATCATTGCTGATCTGATATTCCTCATGTTCCCATTACTGCCCTTTTCACATACCCCCCTACTCCCTGCCTGATCACAAATCTATCTCCCTCAAAGTGAGGCAGGGATGCTGTTTTACATCCAGGTCGGCTCAGAGTGAGTGAGTGCTCTGGCATTGAGTGAAGACCCTGGAGACGCAGCCTGGTCCAATCCATGAGCTGGGGTCTGTGTCCCTGAGCACACAGTGTCCTTGCTGCAGCGTTGCACTGAGAGTTGTTGGTACAGCACTGAAATGCACAAGCTGTCTGTAAGTGGGTCAGAGATGTGTCATGAGGGTTCTTTAAAGCTGGCATATGTCAGGTGCCTGTGTCCATGGAAGTGGGATGCATGTGGCTGGTGCCCATGTTGGTGCCCCATTTCCAACATGATGGTTGTTCAGAGCAAGCAGTGAACTGAGTCTGCCAGTTACCTGCACTAGTTTCCTTCTCAAGTCGTCCCAGCATTGAGTTGTTTGGCAAGTTTGGTCAGATGGGAGACTGGATATTTAATAGGTAAGTTGTCATAACAAGATGCTTAACAAGTTGTAATGACTATCAATTGACATCCCACCCCTCCCTTGTGAAAATTGTACCAAATTACTTGAGAAAAGAATAAAAGATACAACAAGATGATCTTGACATCAAGATGCTTCTCACTGCACTTGTCATTGGGCTCTGCCATATGTTTGTCATCACTCAGATCATGTAAGATTTCACCTTAGATACCTGCACCCTATGGTCTTCAGTAGATCAAGAGGACACTGATATCCTCCCAACGGCAATCAGGGATATCCAAAAAATACTGGTCAGCAATGGTCACATCCAATGAGTTAATGGGAAAAAAAGATTTAATTATTGATTCCCCGCAATCCCCAAAGCAATCTGATTGTAAGCAATCAGTGTAGAGGCAAGAACTTAAAAAAAGTAATGTCACCATTGTCCTGCTCCGTCATTAGAGAGAGAGAGACGATTAATCGTAGTTTAACCCGACGGTCACCCAGGTAAGAGGAGAGATTGAAAAGGAAAATCCTTCATGGTAACATTAGCCAGTGTGGGAATTGAACCTGCGCTGTTAGTATCATTCTACATAGCGAGCCAACTGACCTAACGAAACAGTATAGCTGTTAAATGTGCCATCAGATCATTTATGATGTGTGAAATTGGGAAAAGTTGCAAAGGCACAATTTGAACATTGTCACAATTTGACATAACACAAGATGAAAGGGAGACTGCTTCATATACAGTTTTATGGTTGTCCAATGTGCCAACACATCAAGTGGGCAACAAAAACAGTCTTGAGAGTAATGTTGATTTACCAAAGAATATTGAATAAATATTTAAAATGCAGTCAAGTTCCAACAAAAAAGTCAGAAGATTGTTTGTGTATTTAAATGAGGTCCCCACGTTGTTGTCTGGAGATTCGCCTGCTCACTGATTAAAATGACAGTTTGCTGCAAGGCTGTAGGAACCAGTGGGATACATTATCCGCTAATGCTTTCTGCTAGTTGAGGTGGGAATCTCTCCCAGACGTAACATCACAGTGGACCTCACTGTTTCCCAACTGCATGACTCCCACCAGATTTAACATCTGGCCTCCTGTGGCTGAAAATCAACTGTACCATTGCATTAGAACAGATAATATTCATTACCAATTAATCGAGAGTAAATGATGCATAATTGGTTTTAGGCACACAGGAAGCGGCTAAGAAATAGCTGGAGTGGACAAAATAATAGGAATGCAGTATATATTTAACAAGTCATTTCGCATGATGCCTGACTGTTGGACTCTTGAGGATGCAAGTATAAGGACATGTTACACAATCAGGTTGGTATTCCCTGGAGTATGGAAGTATGGGAGTGACCAGATCAAAGTGTTTACAAGTTTTTTGATAGGGCAGATTGAGCGAAGCTATCTCCTCTGTCAAGGCTATCACAAACAAAGGGGTTTTAGTCTTAAAATTAGACCAAGGACACTTTGGACGTAAATTGGGAGGTGCTTTTTCACACAGAAGTACTATTTCAGAAATTTCATCCCCAGCAGCCAGTAAACTGTGGAGTTTAGGTGATTGGGTAAGTCTATTGAGCAGAATGGAGCAACAGCAGGTAAATAGGGCTGAGAGACAGATTAGCTGTCAGGTAATTGCATGACAGAGGAGGCTTGAGGGATAATGACATTTCTGTATCACTAATATAGTGATAGTTGGAGCTGTTATTTTGCAGTAAAGGATTCTGTCCTGAGGAGTAACTGAGCATGTTGTCCCCAGGTGGAATTATCAATCTGACTATTCCAATCGTCCTGCCAGTCAGCACAGAAGACAAGGAGCGCTTGGCATGCTGCTCAGCCTTTGCCCTTGTCTACTCAGGACGGAGAGTGGCCATACTTCAAAACCCAGAATTTTATCCACACAGGAAAGAGGAACGCTGTGCACGACAATGGGGAACAACCTGCGAGAAACACCCCTACATTAAGGTACATAATGCTGGCTACCTGTGTCATTGATTGCTCAGTCTCTACCCGATTTGGTTAGCACAAAGGGAACAAGCTAGCAATCCTTAACTTCAACGTGACACTGAATTTCTAACCTCGCCACTGATCCTAACTCCACACTCAGCCCTCTCTTGTACAGAGCTCTGATCCCTAAACCTCATGCTAACCCATAACATCACTCTGACCCCGAACTTAAAAAACAGAAACTTGCATCTTCACAGTACCCTTAATATTGCTTCTGCGGAGTGCCTTGGGATATTTTATAATGTCATAAATTGGCACCAATTCACATCAGGGGATTGCAACACATGACCAGAAGCTCGCTGAAGTAAGTTTTATGGAAAGATACAGAGAATTGTAGTTTTTGCATGGCTGCCAATAGTGGAGCTACTAAAATTGGGGGTGCTCAAGTGGCTGGAACTGAAGGCACGTATAGATTTTAGAGGTTACAGAGATAGGGAGGAGTAAAACCATGCTTTGGAAGGACACCTCAAGGTCAAGTACATCACAAAGAGAGGGATGGAGTCCCCTAACCTCTCACTGTGACCCCTGCCCACAGGCCCATAACTTCACACTGATCCTAAACCTCATGCGAACCCTAAAAACCTGACCTCTCACTGACCCTAAACTCCCGGATTCTCACTGTGCCCACGCTCTCACCCTCACCCTCACACTGCCCCCTAATCTTCACACTGCACTGTAACCCTTATGCTGACCCTTAGCTGCCTCTGTACTAGTTATGAAATGTCCTGAATCATAAAAGTTTAGTGATTTTGAGTGAGCTGGTGTTACAGAAAATGTTTGGTACCTTTCTCCTTCAGCTATGCTCACTTCTAAGGCAATTTCTGGCTGATGGTTTTTGATTTCGATATTATAGAAGTGTTTTGGGGGGCATCTGACGTGCAGGCTCCTTGGACACTGAGAGTTTAGCTTCATTGGAAAAGAGCAAGTGAATGAATTCCAGGCTCCAACCCTCATGGATCTGACCCTAGTGTCTGCCCGAATGCAAGCTCATTCAGTTGGACAACGCTGCAAGTCACCCAGGAGAAAAATCGGAAGGTTAAAATAATGTGTTTTCATTCTAGGCACATGGTGGGATTATTAGTTTTAATAACACAGGAAATGGTTTAAGTGAAAATGCTGTCGGACTGTGGAAGGTGGTTCAAAGTAAAACAAATTGTTCCTTGGGGAGGGGCTGAGGAAGGAAGCCTAGTTGTGAAACCTCCAGAGATCAAGCCAGGGTTGGCTCCCAGACTCCAGCAACGTTGCGCGCAGTGAGTGCCAGTAGATATTGAGGGATCTAATTCAGGGCAGGGTCTGTCTCTGTGATGCCCATCGCAGGAACACACCTGAGGTTGGGAGAACTCACTAACACACATGTCACAGCACCCCTTGGTGCCACAGATTAGCACTTCTTTAACGAGATGTACCACTAAGCCTAAACCTGGCCGAATGTACCAGTGATTTCAAGTTATATTGTCTTGACCAATGGTCTTGTTTTGCTGTAAGGGAGGTTGTCAGCCAGAAGACCAGGCCCAAAGTGTTATGTTTTACAGATAATTGCCAACTCATTCATGACAGATGGCAAGTAATTTTGAAATAAAGCTCATTTCTAAATGTTGCTTTAATAATATCTGTTTCAGATGGTGATGGAAAGTGGAGACTGGCTTGTTGGAGGTGACCTTCAGGCCCTGGAGAGGATTCGGTGGAATGATGGCCTGGATCAGTATCGTCTAACCCCCCAGGAACTCAAGCAGAAGTTTAAGGACATGAATGCAGGTATAATTTTTGTACCGCTATTTAATTTCTATCTCCAAGCTCAGTGTTAATGAAGGCCTGGGTAAATTCTCTCCATTATTGTCTGTGCTGAGCCAGCCTGGTCCCTTCAATCATTTCCAGTCCCTTCTGTGATAAATCACTCTAATCAGTACTTCCTTTGGACCTTGTTCCATGTAGGGCCAAGAAAGATAACCTAGTTTAGCCATTCTTGAAAGATGGGTCTTAGATTTCTTTTATAAGTGGGGCTTTGAGTGCAGGCTATACTCTTTTAATAGCCTCCTTATTTCTTCTACTAATCATGTAACAAGTACAGAACTTTTAATGGATTCCAGTAATGAAATCTTACTGTAAATTAAACCTGCGGATTATTATTGAGCAGACTGGGGAGAAATTTTAAAATGATTTTGATAGTGATGAGGGTTCATTGATTGTTAAAAAGAGAATGAGGAGGGAAACTTGTTTATGTGGCAAACTGTAGGAGTATGGCATTCTTTTTACAGATTTTGGATCATTGCAGTACTTAAGACAAAAGTGGCAAAGTATTTGAAATGGGGATGATACAAGATGCGGGAGGGGGCAAGGCAATGGGGTCAGTTTCAAATTGCACTGGCAAGGAGACTTTAGTGAGGATCAGATAGTTTCCTGTGTTGTAAACCGCTGTGCTTCTATGATCGTGAGTCTGCTGGATAATCCAGTATCAGACCAGGAGAAAATTTCCTCCAATTAAATATTGGCAAGACCTAAAGCCATTGGTTTCGGTTCCCACTTCGGTCTTCATTCAGTTTCCTCAGCAACAGTCTGAGATTAAGCCAGTTAGCCTGATCTAAATCCAGTGCAACCTCAGTTTAAGTACCATCACTATGACGGCCTATTTCTAACTCCATGTCATCACTGACTTGCTCCACGTTTCTACTCCTCTGTTGCTAAAACCCTCTTGAATCCATTGTCGCTGTTAGCTTCAGATTTGATTATTCCAGTGAAGAAAAAAACCAGAGTTAACATTTTGGGTCCAGTGACCCTTCCTCAGAACTGATGGTAGCTGAGAAAATGTCAGTTTTGTGCAGAAAATAGGGAGGGGTAGGGAGTAAACGATAGGATAAAGCCCAAAGAGAGAGAAGAGCAGTTGGATCGACAAAGGAGTTGATAACGATCTGGCTGGGAGAGTGAATAATTGTTAATGGGGACTGTTAGTGACTAACAATAGGTCATGTGTAATGACAGGCTATGTGACATCAAGGCCTGGTGTGTGGGGTAGGGGGCTGGGACATGGGAGAGTTTAGGCCCTAAAATTATTGAACTCGATATTGAGTCCGGAGGGCTGTGGGGTCCCCAAGTGGAAAATGAGGTGTTGTTCTTCCAGCTTGCACTGAGCTTCATTGGAAAACTGCAGCAAGCCAGAGACAGAGATGTTGGCCAGGGAACAGGGTGGTGTATTAAAGTGGCGGGCAACAGGTAGTTCAGAGTCTTTTTTTAGATGTTCTGTGAAGTGGTCACCAAGTCTACACTTTGTTTCCCTAGTGTAGAGGAGACCACATTGTGAGCAGCGAATGCAGTAGACGAGATTGTGGGAAGTGCAGGTAAAGTGCTGCTTCACCTGGAAGGTATGTTTGGGCTCTTGGATAGTGGGGAGGGAGGAGGTAAATGGGCAGGTGTTGCACCTTCACCGGTTACAGGGGAAGGTGCCGTAGGGCTGTGGTGGGGTGTTGGGGGTGAAGGAAGTGTGGACCAGGGTGTCCCGGAGGGAACGGTCCCTGCGGAAGGCAGACAAGGGAGGGGAGGGGAATATGTGTCTGGTGGTGGCATCTCGCTGGAGGTGGCGGAAATGGCGTCTGATGATTTTCTGGATGTGGATGTTGATGGGATGATAGGTAAGGACAAGGGGAACTCTATCGCTGTTGCAGGAGGGAAGAGAGGGGATGAGGATGGAAGTGTGGGAGATGGGTTGGACCTGGTTGAGGGCCCTGTCGACAACGGTGCTGGGGTATCCTCGGTTGAGGAAGAAGGTGGACATTTCAGAGGCTCCCTTGTCAAAGTTGGTCGTCACATATGTTTAGCCATCACCACCACTACCAAACATATATTCCCCTCCCCTCCCTTGTCCGCCTTCTGCAGGGACCGTTCCCTCCGGGACACCCTGGTCCACACTTCCTTCACCCCCCACTGCCCTACGGCACCTCACCCTGTAACCGGTGAAGGTGTAACACCTACCCATTTACCTCCTCCCTCCCCAGTATCCAAGGACCCAAACATATCTTCGAGGTGAAGCAACACTTCACCTGCACTTCCCAGAATCTAGTCTACTGCATTTGCTGCTCACAATGTGGTGTCCCCTACATTGGGGAAACGAAGCGTAGACTTGGTGACTGCTTCACAGAACATCTACGTTCTGCTCGCAAAAAAAGACCCTGGGCTACCTGTTGCCTGCCACTTTAACACACCACCCTGTTTCCTGGCCAACATCTCTGTCTCTGGCTTACTGCTTTGTTCTAACGAAGCTCAGCGCAAGCTCAACAACACCTCACTTTCCGCTTGGGGACTCTGCAGCCCTCCGGACTCAATATCAAGTTCAATAATTTTAGGGCCTAAACCCTCCCATGTTCCAGACCCCACCCCACACACCAGCCTTTGTCATCACATAGCCTGCCATTACACACTACCTATTGTTAGTCACCGACAGTCCCCATTAACAGCTATTCACCAACCTAGCCAGATCATTATCAACTCCTTTGTCTATCCAACTGCTCTTCTGTCTCTTTGGGCTCTATCTTATTGTTTACTCCCTACCCCATTCCCCTCACTATTTTCTGCAAATAAACTGACATTTTCCCAGCTACCATCAGTTCTGAGGAGGGGTCACCGGACCCAAAACGTTAACTCTGATTTTTTTCTTCACAGATGCTGCCAGACTTGCTGAGCTTTTCTAGCAACTTCTGTTTTTGTTCCTGATTTAGAGCATCCGCATTTCTTTTGGTTCTGATTATTCCAGTGTTCTTCTGCCTGGTCTCCCACATCCTATTCTCTGTAAACTTGAGATCATCCCATACTCTGCTTCTACACAAAGTCCAGTTTCCCCATTGTCTCTGTGCTCACTGACTTCCATTGGCTCCTAGTCAACCAATGCCCTTGATTTCACTATTCTCATCCTGGTTGTCAAATTTCTCCATGGTCTTACAGCTCACAATTTTCTCCAGTCTCACAACCCTCCAAGATATCTGCACGTTTTTAATTCGAACCTCCCATCCATTCCTGATTTTAATCTTCAGCTGGATATTCTGAAGCTCTGGAATACTCTCCCTGCACCTCCGTACCCCACTTACTGGCTTTCTTCCTTTAAAATTATCCATGAAACTAAGATTTACAGGGAATGGAGAGTTTGAGTTATAAGGAGAGGCAGGATAGGCTGGGACTTTTTTCACTGTAACCTGGAAGGTTGAGAGGTGACATTATGGAGGTTTATAAAATCATGAGGGGCGTAGATAGGGTGAATGTCAGGTGTCTTTTATCTGAGGTGGGGGATTTCAAGACAAGGGGACAGAGTTTTAAGATGAGAGGAGAAAGGTGCGTAAAAGATGTGAGGGGCAACTTTTGTACTCAGAGAGTGGTTCATGTGTGGAATGAACTTCCAGAGGAAGTGGTGGATGCTGGTACAGTTACAACAATTAAAAGATGTTTGGGTAAGTACATGAATAAGAAATGCTTGGAGGGATATGGGCCAAGTGCAGGCAAGTGGGACTAGTTTAGTTTGGTATTATGGTCGGCATGGATGAATTGGACCGAACGGTCTGTTTCCATGCTGTATAACTCAATGACGCTACCACTTTGATCTTTGATTATTTGACTTAAAAATTCCTTTTGTGACTCTTTTATATTTATTCATATTTTGTCACAGAGAACTCCTTTGAAGCACCTTGGGTTGTTTTATTATGTAAAGGGTGTTATAAATATAAGTTGCTGCTGTTGTTGATTCTAGTAAAATGCTACAGCTGACAGTGCATCAAAATGTCTGAGCGAACATTTGGAACCATATTGAAAGTAGTAAGATCACATTTTTTTGGATAACCTTAAGAGGTTGCCTTTTCACAATGATTTAACTGCTTTGCCTGTATTTCTGTATAAAAATGTAGGCACAAAGTACGACTGATAGCGCTCGCAATAAATAGACTATACTTTGTCAAAACGTCCGAGATTGAAACCTACCTCAACTTTCCAGCTCAGTTGGAAGTTTATTTGATTCAACTTGCATTAGAGCTGGTACTTTAAAGGCACTACATCAATGCAGGTTGTAGTTGTTGTTGCACTTACAATGGGAAGAAAGTAACGTACCAGTTGAAGAAGGATGAGCTGAAAAAATTGTGATCTGTTGGTCATGTCAAATTATTGCAATAAAATAGCCAGTAATTTGTTCCTTGGTAATGGAAAAACGATCCATTCTTGTCTTTGTTGCAGATGCCATTTTTGCATTCCAGCTTCGTAACCCTGTTCACAACGGCCACGCTCTACTGATGCAAGACACCAAACGCCGGCTTCTGGAGCGAGGCTACAAGCAGCCTGTGCTACTGCTGCACCCGCTTGGGGGTTGGACCAAAGATGACGACGTGCCACTGGACTGGCGCATGAAGCAGCACGCGGCAGTTCTGGAAGAGGGCGTGTTGGATCCACAGTCAACCATTGTAGCCATCTTCCCATCACCCATGATGTACGCTGGACCAACAGAGGTGAGTCAAAGATCAAAGGCAGGATGCAAGCAGACAAGTTATGACCACTCAGCTCCTAAGAGCTTTGGACATTAGTTAACTTAGTGTAAGCGTTGCTTGAATTGTCTTGTTGCTTTTGGAGTTTCCTCTGTGAAAAATTGAAGGAATTCCATTTCTGCTAATTCTTTTGCTCAAGCTTTTCCGTTGCCTACCCCTCAACTCCCCACGAAGTGGGTTGACCACTCTGGAAGACCCAAACCAGCTCCTTATGGTGTGAAGTAAGGAGGATTGGTATCATTTCTGCTCACAATGCCCCTCAGGTGAGGTGGAATGTGATTTACAAAGACACAGCTATTAGGAGGATCAACTGATTTAGATAGAAATGAGCATCATTGCAGTGTGAAGATTTGATAGTTATGACAAGCGCTGGAAATAATGGGGTGAATTTTACGTTTTTTTTTTGCCTAAGTCTTGGTTGTGTTGAGCTTTTTGGACAGTTTGTGGCCATGAGTTCTAGCAAGATATCTCGCTGTTTCTTACCAAACTTGCCTCATTCATGACCTTTCCTGTCCCTACACCGTTTCTCACATTTGATTTCCAACCCACTGTATCACACACATTGCTGGAACAACTTGCCACTCAGCAGATATCCTAGGATTGACCATTCTGCCCTTCATCCACACCATCTTTAAAAGCCCAGATGAGCATCATCAATCTGGAGCCGTTGTGCATTGTTCCTGATACTTGCCTCTCACATGGCAAGTGGGGGTGGGGGCTAAGAGGCACCCTGCTTCTCAGGCAGACCTGCTGGACAGAGCAGTGTGGAAACGGGACTTATTTCTTCTTCTTCCCCTCAGGACCAGTAGTGACGGCAACAGCACCATACCATGCCAGCCTGGACCAAATGTTGTCACCAGGGCTTGTATGACTGCTATTTTGCGGTGCTGTTTCCACAGACACAAGCCACGAAGTTTGTCCTGGCTTGTAGCAGGCTCCAGTCACATGAAAGGGGGATGCAGTCTTTATCTTTGGTTCCCAACAGTAAGTCACGGGCAGGCTTTGATACCAGTCCAGGCCCAACTCTAGGTGGTTCAGAGTTAAGATGCTTCTGTCATGCAGGGTGAGGAGCCAGTTTTGGGCAGCCCCACCACGTGTCTTGACTCTTGCCGCCTCTTTTTGTGGCTTGTGTTCACCATGGAATGAGAAAGAGGCAGGTATTACAGGTGATGAAAGTGTGTGACACAGCCATTAGCGTTGATGCAAGTGGGCCATGTCCTGAGTGAGTAGGCAGCACAAAGGGAATGCTGGGTTAATGTTATCAGGTGTTGGCGTGGGTGACAATGAGCGAAGGAAGACATTGCAGGTGGTCGTGAAAGTAGAAGGGCATGAGCCATGGTGGGAGGTGGGTACAGTGGCAGAGATAGTGAGTGTGAGCTATCAGAGAGAAGATGGTGAAGTGCAGCAGGACATTGACCTTCTCCCTGCATTGCTGAGCATTCCTACAGATGGCTGAGACTGCTTCAACCACACTCTAATATTAAACCTACCTGTAACTCCACTGCCCTGGTCTTAACACACACCAAATCCCATTGGCCATCACATTAGTGTCTCATAGCAGCATGCCATCCCCTCAACCCACTATTCAATACTTCTGCCAAGAATTGCCATGGGATGTTTTAGTTTGTCAAGGGTGCTATACAAAGGCAGGAAGCTGACGTGGCTCATCAAAGAGGAGATAAGATAGTGTTTCTGCCCCAAAGTATGTAGCCTCTCCCTGCCCCCACTACCCACAACTTGGCTGAGAGTGGCCATCATGGCCAGAATTCCTGGCACAAGATTCTTCTCAATGTCCCGAGGAGGTTGATGTGATTGCAGTGAAGGTCTCAAGGCAGACGTTTGACCCGCGCAGAAGAGCTAGTAAACTCAAACTTAGATGACAGCTATAGCACAGAATGTACGATGGGCCAAAATGGCAAGAATATAGAATTCCCAGAGGGATGTAGAACTAAGTTTACTCAGATATGGAGGTTGAGGCCTTGAAGTAACCTGAAGAGAAGGTTAAGAATTTTTAAATGGAGTTTTTTGGATCAGTAGTGGATGAATGGAAGCAACTTAAAATATAGGTAACAGAGCTTTGGACAATGCAGATATCTGAAAGGTAGAAAATGGGATGTTTGTATTAAGAGTATTAATAAAGTCATAGAGTCATACAGTATGGAAACAGACCCTTCGATCCAACTAGTCCACACCAACCATGTTCCCAAACTAAACTAGTCCCACCTGCCTGCATTTGGCTCATTTCCCTCATTTCCTATTCATGTACTTATCCAAATGTCTCTTAACTGTAGCCACATCCACCTCTTCCTCTGGCAGTTCATTCCACACATGAACCACTCTCTGTGTAAAAAAAGTTGCCCCTCATGTCTTTTTTAAAACTTACTCCTCTCACGTTAAAATTATGCCCCCCAGTTTTGAACTCCCATATCTTAGGGAAAGACCCTTGCCAGTGGCCTTATCTATGCCCTTCATGATTTTATAAACCTCTGCAAGTCTTGAGATATCTAGTAGCGACTACGAATTAAAAAATCAAGAGCCTGCAGACACTGCTTCTCCATCTAACTAAGCTACTCGGCAGAAAATCAGGGATTCACTTCGGGTAAATCCAATTGGGAAACAGCGCTCACAGTTGTCATTTAAATCACAAACATTTCTACTGTTTCAAACCAGCCCCTCACGTATTGTTAAGAATAAAGCTCGCTGAACTGATCCAGTGACTAAGAAGAATTTTGGTATTCACTGAAAGGCGAGAGCCTGCAATTGTGATGACAGATCCTGCCTTAGTCTAATCCTGCGAGGATGAGAAAATGGCTTTTAGTGAATTTACGGCAGAAGTCTCTGATGAACCATGTTTCACCTTTTCAGCTATGCAGAGGAAGAGATGATCGTGTTTAATTGTTTTAAGCATTCCGTAGCCAAAGTCATTGGTAGAATGTTAAAAGCAATCTATAAAGTTCAAAATAGTGATGATTTGCCTAGGCCTTAATTAACCTGTCACTTGGCAGGGCATTCTAAAAGTTCATCTCTTAGTAAACTGTTAGAACAAGCAAAAGTAACAATCTTAGATTTCATCCTGTTCTCAGTGTTACTTTGCCGCAGTAGAACTTTAGGAACCAGTTAAATGCTGAGGAACTTGACAGTGCTGCAGCTATTGGTCTGTATTAGGGAGATGCCTAGGCTATTTCATCAATTTTTGAAGTGTCAAAGCTTTTAAATTTTTTTGGGGGTCTTCACTCCAAATGTTTCGTTGGGATCCAGCGTTTCCTGTCAATGACGCTCATCTCCCTTTGAACCAGATCATGTGTTTACATGCCCTGTATCGAGGTAGACTCTTCAAATGCAACACTTGAATACTGCTGAGAGAAGATAGAAGCTATTGAAGGTATTTTTCTTGCGTTCATCATAGAATCCCTACAGTGTGGAAGTTGGTCATCTGGCCCATTGAGTCCACACAAATCCTCCGAAGAACATCCCACCCTGCTACCTTATCTTCCTGTAACACTGCATTTCCCATGGCTAATCCACCTAACCTACACATCCTTGGATACTATGAGCAATTTAGCACGGCCAATCTTTGGACTGTGGGAGGAAATCAGAGCACCCAGAGGAAATGCACACACAGGGAGAATGTGCAAACTCCAAGGGTGGAATCATACCCAGGTCCCTGGCGCTGTGAGACAGCAGTGCTAACCACTGAGCCTAGGTCTTACACCAGAAAGCCAAATTTGAAAGTAGCTCTGACTAATTGAGGTGTTGCCATGGAGAATGCACCAGAGCGCTACTGCCTTCCATGCTTTTATTTAATCCAAAAAAGGCACAAAAGACAGGTGCCTGTGTATGAATATATGTAGCTTCGAGCACATATAAGTGAGCTACACAGTGGCACTGAAATTCATATACATGTTACCCATTTGGGGGGTAGGCAGAATATCATTTTGGTTTGGCAGCAGGATCCTGCGAGTGAAAAATTCCACTCGCGTCCAATTGTGTTTGTCTCGATGATGGCATGACTAAAAGCTGCTTCATCCTTTCTCTTCTATTTTTTGCAATACTCATTTCCTAGATGAGTTATGGCAAACGTAGAAATTCAACTCTTGTTACTGAGTGCTAGGTATATCATTGCCCTCACAGTTGGAAAACAACCTCCGACATCCTGAGTTTGTGAGAAACACCATATAAATGTAAGATCTTTCTTCTTTCCTTGCATTCAGCTGATCTTCTCTGACTTTGGAAGGCAATAGAAGGAACAATATATCGTTAATGCTTTAGATTACAAACTGTCAATCAACTTAATTAAAGAGTAAGTGGATAACTGAACAGCAGCAGAGACACATTGAAGATTAACAGTACTTACAGGCTTAACTATCTTTTCGAGTAAGATAAAAAGTAACAATCAGTCAGTACCGCTACACTCTACATCAGTGTGAACTGGACCATGCCCAAGGTCATTGAAAGTTGACTGTAATATGGATATTTTTCTTGCTGGCCTATTTATCTCTTTCTCATAACTATGGATGAAATGTTCCATTTAAGCAACACAGCCTCTGAAATGCCTTTCAGAGAAAGGTGGCTGGAATAGAAAAAAATGTAAAGATGTGAAGTCAAATTTAAATATTTAAATATTGGAGAGGTGAAGGGTCCCAAACTGGCTGACAACCAACCAGATTATTTTTCTCGAGCCAGGAGGAGCCATTTGTTTCTCATAGTCCTGTGCAATTAAAAGTTTTAAGTTTTCGGTCACTTTTGTTCAGTGTCTCCTTACGGCACCAATTAATGTTGGTACAAACAGGCAGTGCACATAGAACATACTCATAAATTGTACTTTCAAACAGTATTCAGTGTCTTATGCACATTGCTAAGACGCCATTTGCATTTGAAAAGTGGTCCCCTTCCTAAAGCAGATGAATTAGCTGTGCATTTAATGATAGCGAGCAACCTAGATAACTGCAGTCTTAGAGCCAGTTTAAAAAAAGGATACGTGATGGGCTTTTCAAACCACTAACGTTTATCTACAACAGGCCATTACATCTAATATTGGCCTCTTAACAAAAAGCGAACAAATTGAGGGTCAAATGTATCTGCAAATGTGACTGACAAGATGGTTGCAGATTTGAATTGAACATTTGAGCTCTCCCTCACACAAGTTGAAGGGATCATTTTATGATTTACTGCTGAGAAGTAGTGCATCATGGGAGACAGGGTCTTTTTATAGGAGAACAAACTCTTAAAATTAGCCTGTAACTAGCTATGTGGGCCACTTCTTGTGTGATCCTGATTCTTAACCCCATATGTACTAAGACAATGAAATTCAATAACATGATACGTGATTAATAAGAATGCGTTATTTGTTTCATATCTACACAACTCCAGTGTCTTGCTGGCCTGCACAAACAGTGGATTAATTGTACAGTTTGGCTTTCTCATTGATGTACTGGGCACTGCAAGGTTTACTACAGCTTGTCAGTTCGATGTGAGCTGCCTCCTTCCTTGATGCAAGAGAGGGAGGAGGGTTGGAACACTTAATGGTGTTGCTCATACCCATGGACTGTGGGAAAGGAAAATCGATCGGTGTTTCTGCTCCTCTACATATTCAGGGATCCAGCCTTCCAAATCTACAGGCTTCCTAATATTCCCCCTCTTACATCCTGCCCCATAGTATGTTAGGCGGCCATTCTGCTATGGTGTTTTTTATACACTCAGTGGGAATTGGCTGACTTCACCTCCCTGGTTTACTCTGGTGAGTGGGCCTTTTGCTGCATTTCCAGTGAGGGTTTGGCACAGAGTGGGAAGGAAGTTCCTCATCCAAGTGACAATAAGACTCAGGTTAGCAGTGCTGTTTGGCACCTATGTAAAGAAAGGCCACAACTCAACACCTGTTCTTGCTTCGCTGTCACTCCCCAGGTTGCCCAGTGCTGGAATAGTGCATCCCAGTGCCAGATCCGATGTAGCAATGGGACTGACAGCAGACCAATTATTAACGGAAAAGTGACAATAGTAAATTGTTTTGCCCCAATATGACAGGCACCCACTCTTCCCCCACACAAATAACTGTGACCATGGGATTTACATTGAACTTAGCCCCCTGCTCAGTGCCTTGGCACAAATGTTGGTCACATTGTTGATTGGATGATAGCCACTAGGATCTATTGAGGGTCACTGTCCTTCACTTATTTGATAAATGTGCTGTTTGTTCACAGGTTCAATGGCACTGCAGGTCTCGAATGATCGCAGGAGCCAATTTCTACATTGTAGGCCGTGATCCTGCTGGCATGCCTCATCCTGTGACTAAAAAGGACCTGTACGAACCTACGCACGGGGGGAAGGTTCTGAGCATGGCTCCAGGGCTAACCTCAGTAGAAATCATACCCTTCAGAGTTGCTGCATACAATAAGGATAAGAAATGCATGGACTTCTATGACCCAGAAAGGTGAGAAGTTACAAGAACAAGCCTTAAAACCTGATAAATCAAATCTAAGCAACTGTGACAGATCAACCTTTAATACAATGTGTTTTATTTGAATACCTGGTGTTCCAAACATTGCCGGTCAATCTCTGCCTCTTAAGATCCTCTGTCACCACCAAGAGAAAATACAGCTAATGCTCAATAAATCCACTGAAAGAAGAGAAAGCATCCAAAGCATGTCAGTTGCCACCAAATGATAACTATATTATTAGTTTGCCTTCATTGGCCAGACCATTGAGTAGAAAAGTTGGGGCATCATGTTGAGGTTGCACAGGACCTTAGGCCACTTTTGGATTGCTGTGTACAGTTTTGGTGGCCCCGCTGTTGGAAAGATGGTATTAAATTGAACAGGATTCAGAAAAGTCTTACCAGGATGTTGCCAGGACTAGAGGTATATAGTTGTAAGGAGAGGCTGGATAGGCTGAGACTTTCACTGGAGTGTGGGAGGTTGAGGGGTGACCTTATACAGGTTTGTAAAATCATGAGGGGCACAGATAAGGTGTAAAGCAAAGGTCTTTTCCCCAGGGTAAAACTAGGGGACATAATTTTAAGGTGAGAGGAGAAAGATTTGAAACAGATCTGACGGGCAACATTTTCACACAGAAGCTGGTTCATATGTGGAATAAATTGCCAGAGAAAGTGATAAATGCACATATACTTACAACATTTAAAAGACATTTGGACAAGTACATGATTAGGAAAACTTTAGAGGGATATGGGCCAAATGCAGCCAGGTGAGACTTGTTTAGTTTGAGAAACCTGGTCGGCATGGACTAGTTGGACCAAAGGGTCTGTTTCTGTGCTAAATGACCCTATAGTAAATGAACTGCTGATAATTTTTGAATTTCTTGAGCTACTGAATGCATGGTGCATTTAACTATCCAAATAAATAGGGAGATAGCAACAGGAGTCGCCCATCAAATATACTTTGCCTTTCTAAATCATGATTGACCATCTACTTCCATGTATTCCTTCACTATCCCTTTAGCTTTGGAGTCAATAGTTTTTTTTTTAATTATTCATATGGTTTTCACTGGTTGGCCCAGTTCAAATCAATGGTGGCGCTGCCAAGCTACTCTTTGTGATAGATGTTGCAATTCCCAATCTGGAGTAGGCTTTGCACCCTTGCTACTCTGTGCTTCCACCAAAATCTATCAATCTCCGTTTTGTGGAGACTCAATAACTGAACTTCCACAGCCCCCTGTGGTGGAGAATTCCAAAGATTTACTGTCCTCTTTAGATTATTATTCATAATTATCATTAATCATTAGGTGATAATTTGAATGGAAGCAATATGTAGGATTACGGTAAAACAGAAGGAGAACAGCATAATGCTTATTTGGAGACCCAGAACAGACATGATGGGTCAAGTGTCCTCCTCTTGCACTGTAACAATTGTGAATTCTGTGAGAAAAGAAATTCCTTGTCAGTCATGTGCCCACTGATTCTTGCTTCCCACCCTGTTGCTATTGGGAAAGAGGTGATTAATATCCTAGCTGTTACTAACATGTACTCTCAGGGAGGCAAATATGAGATTTGGATTTGTAACAGATACAAGCACAAAAAGTAGATGCTGAAGTCGGCCATTGGTCCTCTCAAGTCTGATCTGCCATTCAATGAGATCATGGTTGAACTGTTTGGGTATCAGTTTCCACATTCCCCTTTGACCCCAGCAACTGTGATCCCCTTTCCCATCAATAATCTATTCACCTCTGCCTGAAAGATATACAATGACCCTTCTTTAACTGTCTTCTGAGGCAGAGAGATGAGTTTAGAAGAGTGTGTGACTCTCCAGAAAAGCCTTAGTTGTAAATATGAGCCGTTTACTTAGTGTGTCCCTCTCTTAAAGTAATGAAAGTGTTAGAATGACATTCAACATTTGAAATAACATTTTCAGGGGGACATTTTGATGACCAAGCAACTTAGTGCTGAATTGGACAGTACTTTCTGTGTGTGATAGATACAAGACTCCATTTTGGGCCTGGAAACCTATTTTCTCTATTTTGCTGGAGGAAATTGGTACTACTGCCATACCGGTTTTGGTGCAGATAAAAATGTGGAATTTTGTATATAAGTAGCAACTTCTATACATCTCTTTCAATTCTCTTGCACAGAAAAACCTGTGGAATTCCCTGCCATAGAAAGGCCAAAACATTGAATGTTTTCAAGAAGGAGCAGTTCTTGGGGCTAAAGGGATCAAAGGATATGGGGATAAAGTGGGAACAGGGAAAGAAGTTGGATGATCAGCCATGATCATATTGAATGGTGGACTAGACTCAATGGGCTGAATGGCCTAGTCCAGCTCCTGTTTTCTATGTTTCTAAAATCATGTCTGGCCTGGTGAAAGATGTTTTGCATTTATAAAGAATATTTGATGCACTCAGGATGTCTCATAGCTCTTTGCGACAAATTAAATATTATTAAGTTGTAGCCATGCGAAAAAAACCTGGCCGCTAATCTGCACACGTTAGCTCCTATAGCAGTAGTGTGATTATCATCAGGTAATCCATGTTTTTGTAATGGTTTGTGAGGGATCAGGTTGTCCAGGAAAGCAGAGAACATGCAGTGGGTTCCTTTACATTTGCCTGACAGGATAGCCAGAGCCTCAGTTTATCATCTCACCAACAATGCCTCAAGAGGTGAGAGTTTTCCTCACATGGCTTGACTAAATTCATGCACATTAGGACGTCCGTATAAATGCCTAAGGATGAGCTGCCCCTCGTTGTCCTCCTGGGGAAATCATTTAACTCCTCTGCTAAACTTCTATTACACACTCAAGATTAAAGACGGAGATACCATTAACACTTTTCATGTTCTCAGGATGCGTCAAATCGCCACATCTTAAATGCAGTTTCTGTCACCACATAGTCACACCAAAGTCCCACCAATGTATATTCTCTTTTTAGTGGTTTTGGTTGAGATAAGTATTGACCACAACAGAGCTTTCCTCCTTGAATAACGGCTTAGAAATGTCTCACATCTATCCAGTTAGGAGCAAAACAGGTTAGACAGCATCCAAGGAGCAGGGAAGTCAACGTTTCAGGCCGAAACGTGTTGACTTTCCTGCTCCTTGGATGCTGTCTGACCAGCTGCGCTTTTCCAGCTCCACATTTATTGACTTCTAGCTTCCAGCATCTGCAGTCCTCACTGGCTCCAAGTCACTGTATGAACATTTATTCAAAATCTAATTTGAATGATATCCTCTCAGACAATATGGCACTCCAGTGCCAGCCTCAATAATTTGCTCGTCTTTGGAACAGGGCTTAAAACCGTACATTTCTGACTCTGAGGCAAGAGCATTGGCACTAATCCAAGACTGAAATTTGCATTTAACAACTTCATCCTAAACCAGAGAATCTCATCTAATCTCACCTATGTCAGTGCTCGTACATGAAAGATAAAGCTGATGCATCGTCCAAAATCAAAATTATGACTAAAACCTAGAGCCATTTAGGTTTGCAAATATCAAAATGTCTCGTATTAAATGATGGACTGAGCTGTTTTCTGACAGCTGGGATAGATAATCTCGTAGGGATTCCAGGGATGTGGACAGTGAAAGGGAAAGTGAATCCCTTGATCATATGGAATGTTGGAGCAGGATGAACCAGATCATCATCTCCTTTATTTCTAATGTTCTTGTGAAAGATTGACAGAACTTATTGCAGTGAAATTCATTTTTGCACAATTGGTGAAAGGAGATTGGCAGCCCCTGTTTCACAATGGGAAAAGAGCATCAAGCAGAGTGTAAAATGGGCTAGCAATTCACCATCATGAGTTTACTGTCACTACTTCAGTGTTGCTAGTTCATTATTTACTGTTCATTGGAGACAAACTTCATTCCAGTCAACTTAACTGCCACATCACTCATTGACAACAATTTGAAATGTTAAGTTCAACTAATGTATATCCTGATTATTTATTTTAGACACCAAAGCTTTGATTTCATCTCTGGCACACGTATGCGACAGCTTGCTCGTGAGAATAAAAATCCACCAGATGGCTTTATGGCTCCCAAGGCTTGGAGGGTACTGACCGAATACTATTCCTCACTGGAGAAGAAAGATTAAAGCATGAAACCTCAGCCTTTACTTGCAGTTTTTCTTCTTTTATATTCTCTTAATTCATGCAACTATTATACTTCAATTGAATTTGATTTACACTAATTAACAATTGGTTTCCAAATTGTTGGAGCGTAGGAGGTTGAGAGGTGACCTTATAGAAGTTCATAGAATCATGAGAGGTATAGATAGGGTTATGGTAGGTGTCTTTTCCCTTGGATGTGGGATTTCAAGACTAGGGGACACATTTTTAAAGTGAGAAGAGGAAGATTTTAAAAAGATAGGAGGGCCAAATCTTTTACACAGAAGGTGTGGAATGAACTTCTTGAGGAAGTGGTGGATATGGGTACAGCTGCAACATTTAAAATACATTTGGATAAGTACATGAATAGGAAAGCATTAGAGGGATATGGGCTGGAAGCAGGCAGGTGGGACTAGTTTTGTTTGGGATTATGTTTGGCATGGACTGGTCGGACTAAGGAGTCTGTTTCCGTGCTGTATGACTCTATGACAGAATGAAAACCTCGCTGGGAAAATAGGTTATTGTGCATGGCAATTGTTTAAATACTATTTATTCTTTACTTATTGCATTAAATAAATGTAAACTCTTTTTGGTCCATTGCTGTAGCCATTAACTTCGTATTTACGTATAAAGTAACAATCAAGCATAAATGAGAACAATTTGAGATTTTTAATGTTATACAGAAATCCTGCTCAAAGTGGGTGAGTGCAACACTGTTTTAAGTGTTTCCTGTTGGTGGTTTGCACAAAATTAAATTACCTCAAATGTTGACCAACTACTGTGAGACAGGACATTTTTAGTGCAATCTACATTAAATGGGTCAGATTGTTGCCAGATTCTTTGTAATCTTGCATATAATATGTGAACAGTAAACTTTGTAGCAAGTACAAGTCATTTTATTCTCTGGCATGCTCTACAAATACCACACTTTTAGCAGAATTTTATCTTTGCCATCTGAGTTGCTTTGAAGTTACTTTACATTTTCATATTTACTTTACCTAAAGCTCCTTTTGGTTGATAATTATACATCAGAATTCCAGATATAAAGAAAGAAAATCCTTTTCTGAACATTGTTTTTGAGGATTGCACTATCTCCTCTCTTCCAAATGTAAATGACTCTTTCTCTTAACCTTTGCCCTGTCGTCCATTTGTTAAATGTTGACTTTGCAATTTACTGAGCAGGAGAAAGGGGCAGAGAAAATAGCAAAATAGACAAAGCACTGATACAGGTAAGAACATGCCTTTAAATGAGAATACTCCCTATCAGAACTGAATCACTGAAAAGAAAATTGTTTTCCCCCACCCGCCGCAACTATTTAGATTTGAATTCTTAACAGGAGATTGGGGCACCCATTGGACAGCTGTGACTCCATCTAACTCTCCAAAAAGTGCTATCTTCTAATGTTGCCATAATAAATAAAGGTCTTGCTTTTTTAAATGAGTCACATTTAAAACTGTGTGTCATGAGGAAGGGAGGGAAGTTATTTTTGCTCCCTAGTATAGCCTTAAAGCATTACAATATATGCACCCATGGGTAGTGCCAGAAGTAAGTGAAACTGTCTACCCATCAGAGTAGCTACACTTTAGTTTCTATCAGCATCAGCTGACAATTCAGCAGTCTGATAGGTTTACAGTTCAGATTCCTCGCTCCAGCTCCCTCTCCGTCTCAGGGTTTGGATGAGCTTGATTCCACATCATGCAAACGTCAAACAACAGTGACAAGTAAAAACTGGACAATTCAATGAATTCTCCTTTGTGTCAGTGGAGAACAGAACATCATGGACGCTGGATTTGGGCAGAGCCACAAATTATGATGTCCTTTTTGATAAAGTGAGGAAGCAAATCTCTACTGGGGACAAAATCAAGAAAGAAGGTGAGATTGGGAGGATAAACTGAGCTATTTATATACAATTTCCACTATCAACAAAATCCATGCTTAGGCTCATTCAGAAATCAGAACCCAATGAAGAAACTTTTCAATTTGAGTTTCACATAAATTGGTTTTTAATAAACAAGGTACACTTCCAAAGTTGTATGATGGATTTAAGTTTTACTTTCAATGTGATTAATGGCTACAGCAAAAAAAGTTAATCAGCAGAAGGTATATTTAGTTTCTAGAAAACTGTTTATGCTTTAATCAACTGTATCCATTAGTGCCTTTCCATCAAATGATCAGAAATATATATTTATTTTTAGATATGTAGTGGTTTTTACATTGTGCCTTAACAAATTGAAATCTTCTATGCCTTTCATATATATCGTATAGCTCAATCTTCTTTATTAATATAATCTTGTTCTGTTTATATGAATAAAAATTAATCAGCATTGTCTGTCTACTGCTTTATCGCAATAGTCTCACAGCTTGTTGCCAATGTTATTATTTTATTGCTCCACTGTGAGTCTAATAGACATATTTTATCAACATGTACATAAGCAGCAACCCTCTCACAGACATATTTACAAATGATTGAAGACAACTTCCCTCTTCTGCCTTTTTATTTCAAGAAGTTATTTGAATGACTAAATAATTCCAATCTGTTTATATAATATAAATACCACCACCTGAGAGTGTAAAGAAAAGCAGAAAATGTTGGAAATACTCAAGTCTGTCAGCATCTGAAAAGTGAATGATGAAGGAAGAGGAAATATAATTGCATTTAGATAGAAACTAACCTACAGAATGTCTCACCGACATTACATTGATGTGTAGTGCTTGGGAGTGGAATGAATGGATCAGGTTGACAGTCTTTTGGAATTCATCAGTATTTGGCTATTTTTGTCTTCTCAGTTGTTGAGGGAACTGTGTATTTCCATAATATCAGATCTTTTTTAAATCTGGATCCTGATCATTTAGTATTTATTTTTCTGCATCAGAAATATGATCTTTTAATTGGTGTTTTACTGGGGAATTTTTAAAGCATTTGGACAAATTCTTCTGATCATATATGGGCTCAGTTAAGTACAAATTCTAAAGTCACATTTGACCACCTCGACTTTTAATGACCACAGAGCCTTCTCACTCAACGTAGGCAGAATTTTTAAAAATGAGCACAGATGTCATCTGTCTGAACACATGGAACACACTGAAATATTTTATTTCTTAAACTGATGTTACCTGAATCAAAGCTTCATCTTGTACAATATTTGCTAGTTGTTTAATAAATAAAGGTTATTTGTTAATGTATAACATCTGAAATGTACATTATTGTACAGCACTATATCATCACCCTTCTCTGTCCCTGGGTCAAATTCCTGGAACTCCCCCGCTAATAGCATTGTGGGTGTCCCTACACCCCAAGGATAGCAGCCATTACCATCTGATGGGAATTAGGGATGGGCAACAGTTGCTGACCAAGCCATCTACACTCATTGCCTATGAATTAATTTTTAAAATGTACAGATCGGAGCCTACAAAGGAATGTTCTAAAGTCAGAGATATTTCATTGTATTTAGAAAGCCTTTACATTCCATAATTAATATTACTGTATTCTTACCCTATTTTTAATGTTACATTTTATGAAGTTCTTGTAGGAAATTCCCTTCTCCCTTGTGAGTCAGAAGGTACTGGAGGATGGTGGGCGGAAAGTTCATGGAGGTGGAGTGGCTCAGTTTATGATGGGACATTAGACTGGAGTCAATCCTTTGAGGCAATTTTAACAGGCTATCCTTAGAGAGAGGTAGGTCTGCCGGGTTATTTTGGAGACAAGATTCTGTAGAGTATGGAACTGAGGTACATATTGACGATAATCTTATTGAAAGGTGAAGCAGGCTTGAAGGACCAGTATGGTTGATGGAAAGGAGAGAATTATTTCTCAAGTCCTGTCGTTTTATTCTACACCACCTCACAACCTGGTCAATGTAGTCCTTGCTGTATAAGCTGTGAGGATTTTCCAATGTAAATAAATGAAATTATGGCGGATGCTGGAGATTGGACATAAAAACAGTGTGCTGGAGCAGATCTGGCAGTGACTGTGGAAGCAAAAGTTAACAGGCAGAGTTCTCCCCAAAATTAGCAGTGTCGACTTCAGGGAGTTTTGACTTTGTGAGCTCGAGTGGGTAATTTCATGCAGTTCTCCACTGCTCACCTCATGCACCATGCCCACAGTGAACCACTCTCGTGCCACCTTCCTCTCACCAGCAGCAAAAGTAGTCATCCCCTTGCCAGGAAACTATGGGATCTCCCAGGTTTCCCACTGCAGTGCTCATCTTTAAAGCTCAACTGAACACCAGGTCAAACTCCGCCAGCGCTTCACATGTAGTGGGAGGGAGATGTTTTTTAAAAAAAACAGTTCTGAGGGCACATGAGTGTCACGGGTGACCTTTGTCCTTCACTCAGTGCCATACCCTGTTTGTATGTCTGAGATTAGAGACTGACAAGCATGAACCTGCGTCCTATCGCTACTACACCAGTTTCATAATGTCAATAGTAATGGAAAGCAAAAACTTGTTGAAATACAGTAATGAATCACTGCATCATGTGTGGATTGCCGCATCACTGTAATGATAATTCACTGGCTTCTATCAGCTAACATCTACTTGACCAGGCCCAGTCTCCTGCCTAGACTCATCCACCTAAATTAAACAAACCTTTTGCCATGGATAATAACCAGACTTTTTCTGAACATTACAATTTTTCTAGAAAGAGGTTCCAAATGGAGAGCTAACTTTTCCCACGCCTGAGCTTGTATAGGCTGTCGCATTCTCATATAACTTTACAATAAGATTATAACAATAAAAAACCTGGGACCAATTAAACAGCAAGGCCAAAGTTCTGCAGTATTTAAACAAACACCAGGATCTACTTCTGAAAGTTAAAGAAATAGTAAAGAAATTTCTGCAAATCATTTTTGATTAAGGATTGAAGGCCAAATTCTGAGGTTTACTGATCAAAGCAGACCCTGTAGCCTACTGCTTGTCATCTCTGTGGGCACAAATGGTGACAAGAACTGAAACCACTTCCTAACCACACACTCACTTGATTAATATGGAGCTTAACTATAAGAAAAAGCACACAAAGTTTCCAGGGTCATCATTAAAGTTTATTGTACTACACCTACTGGACATTAAATGTAGTGTATGGCAATGACAATAAAATTTTTGAGAAATGAAACAACAAAGATTTTTCACTTTTGCCTTGTTGTAATTTTTTGAGGATCGACATTCTGATGAGAGTGAAAGGACGATTTCTACTTCTTGATATTCAGAAGATGTTTACTGAAAAGTGGATAATCTCTCTACCACTGAGCTTCGTTGTGTGAATAGTAAAAGTACACATCAATGGAAAGTTGGTCAATCAATAAGGAAGCTCCAACCAAATCAATTCAATCAGTCATCTATTGGTTTATTCACCTTCTAAAATCTGTTTTAGATAAGGATAAGTTGTTAGGATGGTAAAAAGGGCCCTTGTGATGTAGTGGTAGTGTCCCTGCCTCTGGACTGAGAGGCCCAGGTTCAGATCCCGCCTGCTCTTGGAATGTGTAATAGCATCTCTGAACAGGTTAATCTGAAAATATTTTAAGGCATTAAGATAGAGTGGAGTAAGGGACCAGTGTAGGATGAGATAAAGAATTGGACAGATGGTATGAGGGGAGTGGGGAGTGGGAAGGTTAAGGGGGAGTAGGAAGGGGTGGTAAAACTATTGTAAATAATCTGGAGCTGTGTGTCACCAGCATTGTGAATACATTTGCAGATGATAAAGAAGGTGCTAAAGCCAAAAGATGAACAGGATTGCGAGGAACATCTAAATGTACTGTCCTTAGAGGTCAGTTTTCTCAGCTCCTGGATATTTCTACAAGAGTTCCTCAGCCCAACTGTCTTTAGCTGCTTCGCCAATGACCTTCCTTACATCATAAGGTCAGAAGTGGGGATGTTTGCCAATGATTAAACAATGTTCCAAGTCATTTACAACTCCTCAGATACTGAAGCAGTCAATGTACAAATGCACGAAGGCCTGTACAATATATGGCTTGGAGTGACAAGTGAAAAGCCACATTTGTGCCACATGATTGCCTGGCTTCAAACATCTCCAGAAGAGAATCTAAGCCTCCTCAACATTCAGTGGTGTTACCATTGCTGAATTCCCCACTATCAACATCCTTGTAGGGGGGGTTACCAACAACCAGAAACTCACTGAGCTTGCTTACCTATTCCAATGGACTGCAGTGGTTCAAGAAGGCAGCTCAACACCACCTTCTCAAGGGCAACTATGGATAAGAAATTAAATGTTGGCCCAGTCAGTGACACCCTTATCCCCAAGAAAGATTTTTTTCAAAACTGATTCCAGCATTTCCCATTGACTGGTGTTCAGCTAACTTGCCTACAATCCCCTGCTCTCAGTTTCCCTCTTTTTGAATAGGGATCTTACATTTGTAGCTTTCCAGTGTGCTGGGAGTTTTGCAGAATCTAGGGAATTTTGGAAGATTTACAATTCTTAAACAGTTGGCTTTCCAGATACTTCCTTTTGCACTTTTAGGATGCAGGGCATCAGGTCTTAGAACATTTCATTTCAGACAAGACAGAGAGAGAGGGAGAGCCTCCATCTTGAGGTAGGGCTTCTCAATATTTTTTGAATAACATTTTAAATCTCCAAACAAAAACTAGACTCAGCAACACAACACCACAAGGGAGTGAAAACAGGGCTAGTCCTTCCACTAGCATAAATAACACTGATGCTTCAGGGGGGTAGGCACGGGGAGGACAACTCTGATTTGCTTTTGACAATAAGCACCAATTGGCTTTTAAGTGTCATTAATTGATTACGAATCACTTCCTACCCTCACCCCCCGAACCTCAGTGAAATGTCCCATCCCCACTGGAGACTAAAAGTAGATTGCTAGATTTTTCTTTGCTAAGCGCATTATGGAAACATTGCGTTCAGATACATAGCAGTTATAACTAATAGAATGACATAACAGACTTGGAGACATAAAAATCTACTGCTATGTTTCTGTATTAAATTCAAAACTTCTTGGGCTGACGATAGTAACAATGAACAACTGGAATCCATCCATTGCACAAAGGTGACTCCTGGTGGAATTTAATGAATCACCTAAGTTCTTCGTTGATCTCACCGCAGGTTTTTCTTTGACCACTATGTGCTGGTTTTGTTTAATCAATTGTTCACTTGCCTTTGCATTAGACCAATTAGTTTCAAACTGATACTAATTTGACGGCACAGCTAAGACTTTCTGCTAAGTTGCTCACAGCACTCAAGGCACAGTTGATGTTGTCTATTTATTTCAGCAAGCCTGTTACTACATGTCATCTTCAGCAGGAATGTGTCTATCATTGTCTAAGTGAGGTGCCCTGCAAGTTTTAAAGAGAGATGTCTATAATGGCGTAGATGGTTGTCTTTATGAACAGGACATGAACAGTGGAGTGAAATGGAAAAGCCAACAAGGGTTTTATTTTTAATTAATCTGAAAGGAAGTATTATGAAGTAATTTCTGCAAGGGTACTTAATTCTGCCCTTTAGGTTTTTCTTACCACGTTCCACATTGGTAGTGGTACACTAGGCAGCAAACAATTAAAATTTACATCAACTATTTTGATCATTAGTTTCAATAACTGATGCTGCCCATGCTGAACTGATAGATTATGCATCATGTGTTGGACCTGAAGAATTTTGTGAAGGTAAATGGATAGGCTTTTGTCTGATCAGAGTTGGAAATAAAGATACCAACCCAGTTCGGATAATCTAGATCCTGTTTCCAGAGAATGACAGGGACAACCAGTTTATTTAATCCATAAGGACAATTTCATGTAAATACTAGCAACATTACTAATTACAAGAATATTGACTTTAGTCTATTCAATGGAGTGGCTATTCACTTGTCTATTATTAAAAAACTCCGATCTTAAATTAATTTTGTCAATTTATCTCAATCTCAGACATCAATCTGATCTCAATTTAAAATTTGTAATCAGTGAGTTCAGTGAATACATCTTACGCCCAGCTTCCTTCTTAAAGACACTCCTCTCTTGAACAAAGCTTTTGGCCATGGATCCTTGGGGTTGGGTATCATATTTTGCTTTCTAATGTGCTCGTGAAGTACTTGGGGCAATTTGTTACGTTAAAGGCACTGTATAAAGACAAGTTATTGTGGTTGCAGCTAATGTTGAATTAAAGTGACATAACCAAACTGCCTTTGCCTCCTTTGTTATTTATTTTATCAGCTAATCTGA